TGCATACATCAAATTTGTAGGCAGCACACATTCTAAAAGGCAAAAATTCACTGGACTATATAAAACACGTGAAAAAAAATAGCTTTGTGCACCGGATCCCTGGTGTGCAGAGAAGTTTTTTTTTTTAAGGGAAAGGGTGGAAATAGCGGATTTTTGAGGCTTTTTCGGGTTGTCTTCATTGTTTTTTGCCTACTTTTTTAAAAAATTCCTTTTGTTTATTTTTACAGACTCCCAAAGTGATGCTTCTGAAGTAATGGATGAAAGTGGCATAACTGATCCTCTGGAAGACTATCCATTTACAAAAATTAGAATGGATGAGAAAGAGGTACAGTGGCACTTGTCGACTTTTGTCGGAATAAAATGGGTCACGACTAATGCTTGTTTACAAATACTCAAATTTTTTTATCTGCTGGTTGCTGTTGAAGATGGATGGTCAAAAAAGAAGAGGAAGGTGTGGTATAGTTACGTGCGAAGTATGTGTGCACTTTGGTAGCATAGAAAGTTCAATCTTGATAAGATAATTTTGGTGATTTTAGATATTTATTTTAAGGCCAAGCTGGACGGCTATGGTCGGATATGGAATTTTTATGATCTGAACATCCTCGTTGATGTGAATTTACCTATATTTGGATGCAAATCGCATCCATGCGTGACGCTTCATCCAAAGTTAGTCGTTTTGTTAATTAAGCAAATCTGTATCAACGTAATTCAAGTTATCGTATTTGATAAACTTTTTCGCATTCATTTTCATGTGAAAAACAGCCTGGATAACGCTGCATAAGGCGCGATGCGTGATGACCTTTATTTAACCTGAAGCAGTCTTTTATGTAGTGGATTATTTTTAGAGATCTGAAACAGCGTCCGATTAATTTCCTCACCGGCGTGGACCTGTATTTGGACCAGTCGATGTGTAATGCCCCAGAAGCTTTGCTATGCTGGCATATGGGCGGGTATGTTCAGGTAACTGTTTCAACATTTTAGAAGTTACCACGCGACGGAAGAATGATGCCTTGTAAGTAGTGGGCAGCAGAACTGTCGTCTTCTGTCACTGCCCTTTATTTTTTTCAGTTTTTTCTTTGTACATTAAAGCATAAAAGACTGTTCCTTTTATTTATTTTGTTGTTTCACATACCAAGATGCGCTGTGACAAGCTACCCAGGAAGGGTACCCGTTGGAGTATCTATCAGGATCATCGATTAGGTGGTGTTAAGCTCTCCGTGTTACTGAGATACCAGCAGTAACTTTCATTTCTGCCTGTGTTGTCGCTATCAGTTGCGCCCTCTTCGGATGCTATGCAAGTGGTGCCTTTCTTTCTGGCTTCCACTCACTGTTAAAGTGAAGTGTAGCGCCGCCTGTACAGCATCCTTTACTCTCGATTACAACAATTTTCTGTAGGCCATATTTTCTTTAAAAAAAAAAAAAAAAAAAAAAAAAAATTGAAATGACTAGTATACTCTATATCATTGAATTTTTTTGCTTGCTTCATACTTTTCACTTAACGCCCGATTGTATTTTTTTCAGGAATACGAAGTAATCCGCACGGAGGATATTCCACAAATGGAAAATGCTAAATTTGACCCGCAAATCCTGCAGAATGTAGCAGAAAATATTGTCGCATTTTTGCAAGAAAAAGTTACTCAGGAAGGGCATACGTATTGGTTGTGTTATGGTAAGAACCCACTTTTTTCAAATAATTTTGAAATTATCTTGAAAACAAGTACGAGTTTTCGGAGGAAAAACACGGGTCCTCTTAGCAAAATAACTTAGGCTTTTGCTGTGAAGTTGATCACGTGGTCAGTAATTTCAGGCCTCTCCGTTTTTGGATTCCTAGGGTGTCATTTCAGTGATTATCTGGGTATTCGGTTCTTTGCACTTTTATTTTTAAGTCACAGAATTCATTTGTTGCTCCATTATTCCCTATTTTTGTGCTTCTCGTTTTCACTTAATTCCGTATGATCTTTAAACGAAGCGATTTTTTTTTTCAATTTTATCTCTTTAGAAGCTATTGTATTCCAGGCCTCACTTTCATAGAGCAAAAGTAATAACTTAGTAAAATTGAAAATCCTCGCTTTTGCAGGAGGCGTTTTGTTAATTTTGGAAGAAACGTAACATGTTGAAGGCGTTCCATTTTAGTTGTGCTTAGCTTCAACTACGTCTGAGAAGTTCTGTTTATCAGCAACTAACACCTCTGTTCACCCCACCCTTCCTATGAATTCATCTGTTTTGTCTGGTGGTAAGGACACAGCGGGTGATTTTTAAACGAAAGATAATTCGGGCAAGTGGTTCTTCACTGTTCTGAAGGCGATGACGTACGCCAAATGTATCCACTTACGAAAGTTAAAAAAAAAAAAA